GATACAATGCTGTTTGAATGCAATGTCTAAATGCATTGCTATTTTGGCTCAGCAAATGGCAAGTGAAAGTTATGCATGGTGGCAATTATTCTACTGAAAAATGATCATAAAAACAGGAAAACAGAAGCCACTAGTTTCTGTCTCTCAAGCATGAAGGTGTTTGTTTGAATCATTTTAATGCTCATTGTCGCGCGACTGACCACGTGAAACCGAGGCAAAAGCTATTTATGAGTCGCCATTTTCTGCTCCCTTGGTGCCACGAAAACTCGATTCCACAGGATTGCGATTCGATTCGCTCTATTTTACAACTACTGTACAATGGCTACCTCAAGTCAGAATTCAGCTGCTCCACCAGATTTTTCAGAGCCATGGAAGTGTAGCGATGTTGTTCTGGTCGTCGAAGATCACAAGTTTCATGTCCATCGTTACACCCTTGCAATGTGGTCGCCTGTCTTCGAGAAAATGTTTACCTCTGAGTTTAAAGAAAAGAAGTCGCGTGAAATTCCTCTTCCAGGCAAAAAGGCAAGTGAGATCAAGGAGCTTCTATTGATCATTTATCCAACGAAATCTGGGAAAGCGTGGAAGACTGTAACGAATGAAAATTGCTACTTCCTAGTCAAGCTCGCTGATGAGTATCAGATGGAAGAGATTTTCAAGAGGTGCGAAGATGTTTTGGTCGATTTGGTATCTTCTAAGCCAGGTATTACCTTCCTTGCTGATCTGACGTTTGCACAGACGTACAAGTTAGAAAAACTGCTTCAAACAATCGTCAACAGAGCTCGTGAGCTGCGGCTGCAAGATTTTAAAAGTCACGAGATGTATGATAAAATGGATCCGCATATTTACAAACAGATTATGGAGGGCATTGTACAAAGGCTTGAGGAGAATTTTAACAGGCACTACCCCTATTATAGATAAGGGCTCTAGCGCCCATTAACTGGATGCACAGACTTATAATCATTTGAGGTGACACAGGCGATGAGGAGTGTATGCACTTTGAATAAGAACCTCTTGTAGCCAAATTTAAAAATACTTTTGCATAGAGTGTGAGATTCGTTTGATTTGAGGAGATGAGCATTATATCTCTTTGTTGTCGGTTGAATGAGTATCTCGTTGATTCGACGATGTACACAATAACTAACTAAATAAAAACCATTGGCCAGAGGTCTAGAATAACTAGTTTATAGTCTGATCGTAGTTATGTTGTTCTCACATTCAAACATGAACTCCCAAAAGTTTTTCTTGGAAGCTAGAAATAGCATCAATTCGCTTTCCAAGAAACTCCTATTTTTACCTCCGGTTATTTTCTACGAACTCACTGCTGTTCCCGGAAAATGCGAATGTTGTCGATCGTCTCACTGTGTGCAATTTTTCCGCTTTAACGTTCTCAGCGGCATCAGAGTACGTCAAAAACAAATGGCAAACAAATTTGACGATACATTGCATCATAAGATTAACTTTTAGCCCTTTCTCGAATGTAAATTTGACTAGCGTGAAGTCAACACGAGCATAGTAAGACTTAAAAATTGTTGACACTGACTAAAAACTTTTTGTGTGAACGTTTCGGTTAATTATACTGTAATCTTGTTCAGCATAAATGGCGAACGAATGTAAATAAGTGCTTTGTAGAGCGTTTCACTGTCACGCAATAAAAAATAAAATCAAAAACCATTCAGCGGATAAAGTCAAGAAATTGTGATATTATAGAAGATAAATAAAGAAGACAGTTCTCCAAGTTTAAGGTGTGTGCGCTGTCCCAAAATTAAGACATTCGTCGAAATGTTTCCGCGCAAATTTACAGAGCCTAGTATGGAGCCGCCATGTCGGTGTTCCTCTGTGGTACATCAGTATGGCGGCCTGCAAATAGTGTTAACATCTGGAACTTACTTTGACTATCTAGGACACTGATTCACTGCACTGAACAAACAAACATTCAAATAAGTACTTTTCCAAATACTTAAACGTCTTAAATGGCTAAAAATCACAGAGATAAATAAATATTCTTCAACAAACGCGATCGCAGCTTAATGTCACGCACCGCCTTAACTCTGAAATTCAAAATGCGCTGGTTTCCAAATGAAGGACGCTATTGAGTTGGAAAGTTGTGAACAGATGACCTCTTATGCATACTGAGGATAAAAAATGTGGTGGCTCTTTAATTTTGGATTGAAAAATTTGATAACGTCACGTGAAAACGTTCTATAAGAGCCGCGGGAAAACGTTTGTTAATGTCAGGAAGGTAAATGTGTTCGTTAATGGCATTCGGTTCACGAATTGAGTACCACGCTTCTAAAAATAATCTTTTCGACTATTAGGAACAGCGGTCAATAATCTTGACGTCTTCAAGGTCAAATTCGCGATTGTATTTGTATGGAATGTTGGGCTAATGAAGAGTTCTTATCTCCCGTGAAAATCGCTCTCTTGTGTTCTTACGGATCTTGATGTTTGACCGATATAAACTTTGTCGCAGTCTTTACAATTAACAATTATTCGCCGAAGGCGAGGTGAACATTGTTGAGTATAAAATACTCTTATAAAGCACTCATTTACATTCATACGTCACTTATGTTGAAGGAGGTTATAGTATTTTAAACCGAAACGTTCACACAAAAAGTTTAGTCAGTGTCAACAATTTTTTATTCTTACTATTATCATGCCTGACTGCAACTACGGAATTTTCAATTCGAGCATGCAAACATGAATTTGAAATTGAAAAAAAGAGGCAATTCTAAATTCCCTGTGTTTGTTTCAACTTCTGCTGTCACCCTCGGATTTTTCGAGATTTTCCATTCACCACGAGTAGTACTTCCTTATCTAAGCTCTGTTGGGCTTGCTTTTGTGTTTAATTGGCATCGTTGTTGCCAAAGCAACGCAGTATGACGTCATGTGTTGTAGCTTTTCTATATGTCATTCTACGACCTGTAGAAACGTGGCTGCACTACATTGATTGCAATGAGTTTTACTTTTAAAATGAACATTACATTATTAAAAGCAGAAGCGTGAACTAATGTGGGATACCTATACGACTTGCGTGCTTTCCAGTCAGTATAAAATATAAACTGTGGACTGTGAACTGTGGACTGCGGACTGCGGACTGGGTATAAAACGTAACTCAGATATAAAACGTAGACTGCGGACTAAATGCGGCCTACCGACTGCGGACTGGGTATAAAACACGGACAAAGGTACAAAATGCCCATTTTCTTGCCACGTGACCACGGTGCATGAAGCGGTCAGTTATCAAAGTCCGTAAATGATTGTCAGTAACCGACCACCTCTATTTAGCGGCCACGGCCACCTTTTGGTCGTCCCGATGAGAGTTTTTCTATTGTCCTTAGCCCTATTAAACGGCAACCCAAAATTTAAAAACCGTAAATTTACTTTATTTTGGAAAAAAGCGATGGTAGATAAGAATCCGAAGTAGAAGGTGACGAGTGCTAAAAACATTCAAACACATATTTGCCATAATTGTTTAAATAAAGGAAATCATAATCGTTAGGGAGTTTGGATATCTGACCTTAATTAGCATAGAAATTTACGATTTCGTTTGTCCGTTCCTTTACATAGCGTTAGCTTCGATTGAGCCATAATATATATACGGAGAGTCCGTCGATGAGGTTTGACATCATTGATAAAAGATGTTCGTCTCACTGGTGGATGGCGTCCGGCTTAGTCTAGTTTTACGAGAGCCGAGTTAACCACCTCTAGGAACCCAGAGACATAAAAATAACGCAATGCAAACACAAGGTAAGCCATTTTATTCAAATTATTTTCTACACGTAGCATTTAGAGTAATTTTCGAAGCATTCTCATACGTTGTCTTATAAACGGCTAAAATTGTAACGCAATCGCCAGCAGCATAATGTCACGTTTTAATCGTATTCAACGTCTGGGCCGCCTGTGCTCACACTCAACCCATGAGATTGTAGGGAGAATTGGCAACTGTTGATTCTTCTTTACACGGTACACGGTACACGGTTCAAATCACATCCAAATTACTTTACTTGACGCCAGCAGGCGAAAAAGCGATCTATCGACTGATAGTGCGAAGAAGAAACGTTGTTATAACATAAAAGATCGGAGAAATACGGTAAATATTAACTCATAGCTCACCTTTTCAAGATCCTGCGAACGCCCACCGATCTATACAAACGCGCCGAAATGCCAGGTTTGAAGGTAGGTTTTACGTCGTGTATGGTACTTCTACTGTGCCCGTCAAACCAATGTTGACAATCTTCCCGACCCTGGCGCAACACAGACTTGTCAAGTTCCCGACCCAGGGGAGGCAATTTTATGTTAAACTCCGTGGGTATGCCCGATCCCCCCGGGGGAAACCACTGACAGGTGCATTATCCGCGCAACGCAATTAGGGGCCGTCAAACATTTCCTGCAGTGTTCTTTTCCCTAGTTTAACAACTACTTTCTTATGTCTTTCTCATGACGTTGTTAATTCACGAAAATATTTAAAAGAAATATTTACGGATTAAGCCTGGGCTGCTCTTAACTTGATATCGGATTGATTGCAGAAACCCCAATATAATTCTGCGCTGTTTTAGGTTCAGCGGAGTTTGATTGATTGACGATAGTTAAATCCAAGTTTCTTTCAACTATGAAATCTTATATTAACGTTATATAATAGCCTGCATTATTAATTTTACGTACTAGATTTTACATATAAACGGAGACATAAATGGTATTGTAATGTCTTTAGGGACGATTTAATTTATAATTAGGTTGAACGTTATCAGTAAAACAGGCAAAAGAGTCACTAAACTATAAAATATTATAATATAGTTTTGTAAGTAAAGCCTGATGTTTTTTACTGTGCCAGTGAATTATCTATAATCACCAATCCTCAGTCTCTATCAGCAAAATCACTTTTTAACGATGTCTTAAGATTCTGTACGAAGGATTGATTAGGGTAGGTGTATCCGTCGTATTTCTCGCAGCCGTGGACTTGTTGTTCTTTCTTGTACTTTATTTGAGATGGTCGCTGTAGAAGTACGAATTAGCTCATGGTGGCAAGTTTTTTCGGAGTCAAAAACTGGCATGAGAAAATTATGGCGGTCATTATTCCACTGAAAACCCTCAAAAAATAATAAAGACAGCAAAACACGAGCCACACATTCCTCGGTTGTAGGTATTTGCGCGACTCACTTTTGCGCCCATTGTCATGACAATAAGCTATCGTTAAGTCACGCTCGAATGGCAATCTTTGTGTCGCCGTTTTCTCCTAAGCCAGTCTCCCGACGCTTCTGATTCCGGAGTGATTCGCTTTGTGATGTAATTGCTGTGCAATGGCTACATCAAATAACAGTTCAGTTGGTCCACCGGATTTCTCCGAGCCATGGAAGTTTAGCGATGTCGTTCTTGTTGTAGAAGACCAGAAGTTTCACGTCCATCGATCGACTCTTTCGATATGGTCGCCTGTGTTTGAGACGATGTTTACGTCAATGTTTAAAGAAAAGAACATGTATGAAATTCCTCTTCCAGGCAAAAAGGCAAGTGAGATCAAAGAGCTTCTACTGATTATTTATCCAACTGTATCAGAAACGGGATGGAAATCTGTAACGAATGAAAATTGCTACTTCTTGGTCGAACTCGCTGATGAGTATCAGATGGACGCCATTAAGCAGAGGTGCGAAAATTTCTTGGTCGACGAGGTATCTCGTTCGAGCGGAAATGAGTTCCTGGTTCATTTGACACTTGCACAGACCCACAAACTAGACAAGCTCGTTAAAACCATAATCGGGAAAGCTAGGGGGCTGTCGCTGGATGATTTCAAAAGTCACGAGATGTATCATAAAATGGAGCCACACATTTACAAACAGATTGCTGAGGGAATGATAAAAAGACTTGAGGGAAGACCCTTGTGTAGGTCCTGTAAAAGTATGGTCCAGCAGGCACAAGCCTTCATATTGAGGTGACGTATTCGAGAAGAACGCCGGCCTGGAGTAGTTTAGACAATCACTGAACGCGCATACGTTTAGATCCGCAGAAAAATGCCCTGACATTGTTGATTTTGATTACGTTTGCTTGCTGATAGCGGCAAGGATTACAATTCGT